CGATCCAGGGTTCTATCACCATAGCTCACCCCTTGTCCGTCAGGCTGGAGATACGTGTAACACGCTCAACCACATTTTCAAGCATGTCATGAGCCAAGCCGATGCCTGGCTCGTGTTTCCCCGAATGCCTGAGCTCCACAACCAATTCTGGTCTCTTTACAGCAGTTCGTACCATCTCGGCCTTGTCTGCACCCTTATGTTGTTACAGCTAATAAGGTGCAACCCTCATACAGGCATCTACGGCGTACTGGGAAAGTGGACACAGAAGAAGGAGAGTTATGCTGCATTCAGCTACGCGCTAATGGTGACCATGGTGACGCTGGCCAACCGCGAATTCATCGACGAGCATGGGGAGGATCTCATCGCCCGGTTGACCACGTGCGCGAAGAATGATCGAGAGCGAGACTGGGAGACGAAGGACGAAGACAACGCTGAACGGAAGGGATCACGGAACCGAGAGAAAGAGCAATCACAGCCCGTCGATAAGAAGGACGTAACCTCGTCGGCACCGTCATCTTCCTCCCCCATGAGCTCCTCCGCTTCGTCGTCAACTGCGACGCCGCTGCTGTCTTCCTCGCCGCACCACTACCTCAGCTTGATACTCAGCTACTTGCGGACGCTCAACGAAGCCTACGTGCGAGAAGGAGGCGAGAGCTACAGTCGACAGATGCAAACGGCCACCCAATTCCTCTTCGCGTGGCAGAGCCTGGCCGTGTCGAGCGAACAATACCACCTGCTGGAGCAGATAGCACAAGCCATTGTACGTCTGGAGGAATTCACAGGCTCTCTGCTTCAGGTCATATGCAAGAAAGAGTAACGAGTATGTTGTGGTGCAGGCGCAGCGCGATGCACGGCAAGGATTAGCTATGGTGCTGTTCCAGCTGCCTCACTCCGGAACGAACGAAATAGTCCTCCAGCTTTCGCTTGGCCTTAGCGTCCTCTCTTGCATGCTCAAGCATCAAGCAGACCTGGTAAGCTTCTTCTCCCCTTTGATCTGGACGACAGCTATCGCTCATCCTTTGCCGTCCTCGTGTACAGATGAAGCCGTATCAAACCAAGTTCCTGGCGTTCTTCAGCAGCATCTGGGGTGAAACAGGCGAGCCGGAACCTCGCGTGCTTGCTGGCATTCTAAATTGCCTCCCGCATATTGATTTACCGGTGCTCTCACGACAGCGAGTACGCTCTCCTTTTGCACTGCGTGTGCTTCTCGATCCGAAGATGTACGACTGACTATTGGCATTTAGATTACCTTGCGTGTCGTGCGATCACTCGCGTGGGCCACTGGAATGGAAGAGAGACAGTCAGGAGTCAACGCGCTCGCCTTCTTATTCGCCAAGTACGCTGATGAGGTGCTGCTGGCGGGCCTTTCAGCCATGCTGGACCACCTGGAGGATCTCGATCATGAGGTAAGTCAACATCTTCGAGTAGCACAGAAGTGATATCAAACTAACAACTTGGCGTTAGTTGGACGGGGACGTGCAGCGGAGGTTCATCATCAACACAGGGAGCGGAGAACCTGACCAAAAGCGGCACTTCCAGAACGTGCTCGAACTTCTGCAGACCTATCTGCAACTTGCTCCGTCACTTCCTCCCAGAACTCCCCTCGGCGTCCTCTCCCCTTGTACCACCCGTCCCACTCACGCGCAGTGGCGAGAACTTCGACACAGACTCGAGGCCATCTGCTTGCTATGGCTCGCATCTCCTGACTTCAGCAGCAGGAGCAAGGCGCTCTCCGTGCTCGATCTCTTCAACTCCCGTGTGTTCAGGTTCGTCTTCGACACATTTACATTTTCCAGATTGATGTTGTCTTTGACAGTCATAACAACCCGCAGGCAGCACGAAGCGATTACAAGACGTACGTGTCTGCTCGTGAACGAGATCAGGCAGGCCAAGGCCACGGACAGCGAGGAGCACCTGTGGTCACCCACACTTACCTACATCTTCGAGTGCAAGCAAACGGTAATGACCGGCTGCAGTTGCCCTACCCGCTTTTTGTTCTAAGCCTCTCTGTGTTATTCAGGAGCTCGCCGGTGTGCTCCACAGCAGCTGGCTGCAGTTGATGCGTCCGATGCAGAGGAGTGCGTTCGACTTTGATAGAGTTACATGTGCAGAGCCTGAGAAGCTTCAGGAGTGGAAGAATCATCTTCGCTTCCTTCTCTGGGCTCTTCCATCCGCCTTCCGGCCAGAGACGAACGGAGACACCTCTGCTTCATTGCGTACGTGCCGCCTCGCACTTCGTTTCAACCTGAGAGTCGCCTCACTCTCTGTCCCCTTGTTCTTGCAGAGGTGCCTCCACTGAGCGACATCAACCAAACCTGCGTCGACAAGCTCTTCCGCCATGTGGCCACCGCGGTCAATCACAGCCCGGAGATGAGCAACCACCTGATTGAAATACTCGCTGCCGGCACCCCGCTGAACAGACGATGCAAGGACGCACCATCGGGCAGCAGTGTCGTTTTACCTCTCTGGAAGGACGCTCGAGTGCAATCGTACTGTGTCGAGCTGCTTCTTCGCCACTTGAGTGTCGCCTCAAGCAAAGTGAGCGAGCCACTGGAAAGCTCGGGCTCACTCGCTACTCGGCGTCTGTTCTGCCCAGCGGCAGCAGGACCTTCGTCGTACGATGAAGCCCTCTACACTCAGGTATCGAAATACCCTGCTATCATTGCTCGCTTGTGTATCTTGCGATCCAACTGATCAACATCTGTATAGCAAGGTAATGTGGAGCTCCTGGCGCTCTTCGCCCGTTACTCGAGCACCGAAGATACCACCTCCGAGCTGGTGCGTCTCCTCAGCGACACCGTGAACGCTTGGCTCGGATACCACGCCGATCGCCAGATCCGGTATGGTCCCCATTAGTCCACACGACAATACACTCTCGCGGGACTGATGTATTGTTTGTCCTGCAGGATCAATCCGGCCATACCCCCTTCCACAAGGCTCGCTGCGGCAGTTATTGTGACCACGGTCGTGCGGCGCATGGGTACGTGTAATTTTATCGTGCAGCTCTTGGCACATCAGTACTAATACCCTCTTCACACCTAGGGACCGATACCGACGTAAGTCCCAGGGCCGAGGCCGTGCTCAGCTTCCTGGCGTCGTTGCTGTTCCGTACGCCATTGAAGCAGCGGCGATCAATGTCAACCTCCAAGTCTCCCCGCTCTTCGTATCGCGGCCTGCTCAACTTGATTACTCATTCGAGTGTTGAAGGCGGAGGAGGAAAGAAGGACGTCATCCAGCGCATCGAGGAGACCATCGAAAAGGAGTCGAGGGACGAGCAGCAGGAACGCAAGTCCGGCTCTGAACGGAAGACGAGCATAAGCGAGC